AAAAAAAAAAAAAAAAAGCAGTGGATTTTTTGCATGCCCGGGGTACCCCGGGCGGGGTCCCTACCTGGCCCGGCGCCCCGGGAAAGCTAGACAATAAATAAATAAATATGAGCAAAAAATATGTTTTGTAGAATTGCAATACAAACAACTTTTGGCTGAGGGTCACATCAGAATTCTTCACGGAACTGAAGATAAAAAAGAAAATAACCAAATCACACTAAGGCACCCCCCCTTTGAACCCCTTTAGCCCCTTTATAATTCATTTATACTCCCCTTCCCCCCCCTTGACAGCCAACACTCAAAAAAAAGAAAAGAGCCCGGATTTGGGCTCCTCCCGGAGAGCGCGGAAAACCCCAACCGCCAATGTTTTTTGTTTTTTCCCCCATGCCCGGGTATCCCGGGTGCCACGCTGGGTAGCCTTAAACACAAAACGGGAAATTCCACTTAGCCAGACTGAGAGCAAATGAAACTAAACGCTAAACCCTAAACCCCACGTAGCCAGACCCAGAGCCAATGTCAACTAAACACTAAACCCTAAACCCTAGTCAGCGCCACTGAAGTCGAAGTATAACTAAACCCTAAATCCTAAACGCTACGCATATTCACAGAGGCGGAAGGACACCATCCCGAACTGCGGATTGGAAACGAAGGTAGCAAAATGATCGGAGACATTGGAACGGCGAAGTCAACCCAGAGTATATATGGCAAGCACCACCAAAAGCCCTCACGGGATCTGCCTTAGCCGCCAGACTCACAGTCACACAGACCTGAATAAACGCCAGCAAAAACGGAACCTCAAAAACTGGGAACAGGGAAACCAGCCCTCACGGGATCTTCCTCTGCAGCGAGGCCGGAAAGAGGGAGATGCTTCACACATAGCATTCAGCGGCAGCAGGACCGAAGGAGCACTCACATCCGGAGCACAGCACGGAGCCTCAAAAACTCAGTAGCACTGCCAACGGCCGCAAACAGGGGCGAAGCAGCAAAATTGCAGCACTGATAACAGGAAACCGAAGCGGGGCACCGGAAAACAAATGCGATAAAAAAAAGGAAAAAACAACAACGGGGAAAAGACAAAGCAAAAGAAAAAACGCAGCGAGTATCACAGCGGACCAAACTGAACGAACAATGACACAGCAGGGGGAGGAAGTAATGTACACGCACTTGAGTAGACCCACATAATTCGGGAGGTTACCACATGGAAATTGTAATCATTATCGTCAGGACCCATGTGCACCACGGGAACCAAAATGTCAATGTCTTCCTGCCGATCCATGAGCATGAGCATGAGCTCGGAGCCAAAGTCTTTGAAATGGAAGTAAAGTTCCTCATCCCGCTCCCTGAGAAGGAATGCGTTGTCAAGCATATGATGGCGAAACCTGTCAACTTCTGCACTCTGGAGCTGACTGATGAGCATATCATCCTCCTGTGGCAGATCACCAGGTACCGACGAAGGCTCCACGGGGGCATTCGGCAGGACCGCCTACGAAGATGAACCCGCGGCAGGCTTGAGGAGGGTGTACCCACAAAAAGGACAGGAGTTCGGTGCCTCAGCAGCAACGCAAGCTTGCAAAGTGGCATACTCAATTTGCAGTCTCTTGTGCTTCTTTTGCAAAAGCAACATTGCAGACGCAACAGCATTGATAGTGTGTTTGGCATCGCCATCTGTGACACTGAGCAGCAATCTTCCAAGTGTGAACCTTATCCTGTGCAGATCAGTGGCCTGCCGGTCAATGATGTCATACTTACTGGCAGCCGGCTGCTGTTCGAGAGTGCTGGCAATGAACTCGCTGAACTCCCTCCTAGCACCCAGCAAGGGCCCATACATTATCTCCATGGTTGACAAAGCCTGTGAATCAGTCACAGCAAACTTTAATGCCGCCTGGATTTCAACCTGCGATCAAGCGATACAGCAAAGTCTCCCCAACCCACTGCAACTGTCGAATAGTGGACTGCAAATCACAACGATCAAACGGCTGAAGGACGTTGTTGTGTGGGAGCACAAACACCGGATGCACAATGCGAATAAGATCACCTCTCATATTATAAATGCTCAATAACCCCCAGCAAAGATCAAAGTTGTCCCCCTCAATGACTCTTCAGTGATCTTGAAAAGAAAGGCAGGGAGAATCTGTTGTGGGACCTGGATTCGGTCCGGGAGCAGATGGAAGAACCGGAAGAAATCCAGGCAAGAATCCAAGCAATCATCAGCCTCGAGGAGAGAGAGGAAAAGCAGACCACAGACAAACAACTCAACTAGACTCAGACAGACAACAAAAGAACTTTGGAAGAAGAAAAGGCCGACGAAAGGAGACAACCGGACCCAAAGAAGAGGAAGGGCACTGAAGCAGCCAACAAAGGAATGTCACAGCCCATGGAGGGTACTCAGCAGCCAATATCGTCATCAGAAGGGGAACAGGGGGACAACTATAAATCCGCTGATATCACTGCGACCCCAGCGCCCAGTAGCGAGGATGAGGAGGCAGCGAAGTGATCCCTCCAATGGCTGAGAGGCTATGTTGAAAAAAACAAGCTGAACGGGAACACCTCTTTGATATCCGCACAGCCTGCATGAAACATATGGAAAGAACACAAAATCCGAAGAAAGACTCAACAGCAGGTATCAAGACTTCTGCAAGGAAGATGAGCAGTAGCGAACTTCAACAATCAAACAGCATCATACATATGAGTCCAGATAGTCTTGACCTCAAACCAACAGCAGAATTGCATCACGAGATTTCACCAAATAAGAACACACCAAGAGTTCATAATTGACAATGCTGAAATAGTCCCATCGTCATCAACGAAGAACCAGAGTTGATATCCTATCTGGCGCTCGGCGCCCAGACTACATGTGGCAGATCTTATCTAACCTATACTACGATGCCGAAAGATGACGTCAACAGCATTCCTGAAGTACGAGCATATGGCGACCAATGTCGGACGCTTCCAGCACCAGGTATGTCTCTCGCCACACTCACAACCTCGTGCCCCAACACACAGATGCCACTAACACCCAAGGACCACCCTGCGCTTCACCCAGCTTACAGCAGCGCAGCTCGGCTATGGCTGCGTGCTCCTTCCCTGCTCGCCCGTGAGAGCGTAGGCGCCAGCCAGCACAATAGCGCAGCAGCGCTTGCGCAGCATGCAGCCAGCACACGAATGCCGAATGAGGAGGCAGGCCCTTTGCTATATCGAAGTGGCCTGCCTGTGTCCAGTCCCAGGAAGCTTCAGTAGGCCCCGGTAGCCTGAGGCCCAGTACGATCGAGCACAGGCCTGGGGCCTGCGGTAGTTGCATGTGCCCAACTGCCTTTGGCATGTGTGTGGCCCAGTACCCGTATCCAGCCCAGGGCCTGTTTTCTGTTCATTCACACAGGCGGCCCAGGGCCTGGGTTTCTTCAACCAACTGGTGCTGCGCGACTGCCTGAATTTCCTTAGTTGCGCCAAGGCCGAAATAAGGCCCTGAAGGCCTTGTCAGGCCTGCCTTCAATTAGGGCGGCCGACGGGCTGTAGGTGAGGAGCCGAAAGGAGCTCATAGAGGCAGTGGCCTCGCATTTCCTCCAAACAGTTTGATCTGTTGGTCAAAGCGGAGTAATTTTCTGAGTATGCAGCATTCAGAAACGCAAAAAGAAAGACAAAGACATAACACAGGTTGACTCCAAAGAAGCATTACAAGACAAGACAAAGACATAACACAGGTGGACTCCAAAGAAGCATTACAAGACCTGAGACCAAAGAAATGGAGGACCTCCACGAACCAGAAAAGTCAACAACGGAACCCACTGAAAAATCAGCCAGATCTGAGATCGAGCAAGAAATCGCAGTGGTGGAAGCACAGGTTGAGAAGATGAAGAAGTTGAACTCAGCATACGAGACAAAATTATTTTCACTCAGACACATAGCAGACAGCAAGGCCCCCGAGATTTTGGCCCAAGCGAAGTCTGCAAGGTTGACTCTGATGGGGATTAGACCGCTCCTTGTTGCATGCTACATGGTGGAGAAAAAAGAATGGCAAGTAGCCACATACGTGTCCTTCGCAATCCCTAAGATTGATGAAGGCCAGAATGTGGCTACCATCCTGCAGGAGAAGATCACAACAGCCTATCCACTGGGAGTGTTTGAGACAGACCCCCAAGCGATCCAGCAGGATGACAGACCACAAGAGGCCTTACAGGTGGGACAGAAAGATAGAGAAGACCAAACAGACCCCAAGGACACTCAGATGGATCAGATCAACCAACCTGAACTCGGAACTCCCAGATCCTTCACCCCCCTCATCGCTAAGATGCCTGAGGGCACTAAGGTAAAGGGAGGAATGAGGTGGCGCCCATGGACCACGGTGATGGTTATACCCTACAGCGTGCTGTCAGGGATAGACATCCCCGCTGAACTGCAGGCCACCTTCCTGGCAGGCCTGATAAGCAAGGGAATTTTCGAAGGGGGCGGGGACTTGGACTCCAGGGCATACTCAATACTACTGTGATGAATGCTCGGAAGAAGAGGTGCAGGAGGATGAGGACGACTGGGCATCGGATAAAGATGAGCTAGATCCTGAGACACCTCCTGCAAAGGAGGGGAGTAGCAGCATAGGGGAGTATAGGATGGATGTATCCCTGACTAAGACTCGGTCAGACCCACCGGGAGAGTCTGCCAAGTTGATGGAGACTGTAGGGTCAGGGGCCTCTTAGATCTAACTTCATGTTTTCTTCCAGATTCACCTGACAGTCTTGCTCATGGACTTGTTGAGAAGAGAAACCAATGAGAAGGGCACAAAGGTGTAAAAAAAAACAAAAAAACAAAGGCTAACTAAATTCGACTACTCTTCTCCAAGTGGAACCCTACAAACAAGTCAAATTGTGGGGACGAAATGAGAAAACATAAACCGTTTTCACACTGTGCAAGTTTTACGTGATAGTGCAACCAGCTTTCGCCAACAATACAAAACACTCGCTCTCTCTATCTCACAAAACTCTCTCTCTCTCTCTCTCTCTCTCTCTCTCTCTCTCTCTCTCTCTCTCTCTCTCTCTCTCTCTCTCTCTCTCTCTCTCTCTCTCTNCTCTCTCTCTCTCTCTCTCTCTCTCTCTCTCTCTCTCTCTCTCTCTCTCTCTCTCTCTCTCTCTCTCTCTCTCTCTCTCTCTCTCTCTCTTGAGAAGAGGAGTGTTCGCCCCAAAAGTGTGAGAAAGTACGTACCTCTCTTGAGAGACCTAGACACTCTCGTCCTCCATCATGGCATCTGCAACATAATGGAAGCTGCAAATGGACGCTGCCCCTGAGGCAGAAAAAAACGCAGTACAAGTTATTCTATGAAAAAGCATTGAAGAGGGAAGAGGAAGTGAGGGAGAACGAGAGGGGAGACAAAATAAAGGCTCATGAAGTCGTCTTCAGTACCATGCCCCCCTTAACTGATGCGGAGGTGGAAGAGAAGACTGTCCCACTCCTCAGGGCTTTAGTAGAGGTCCGGACTGTTGAAGACCAACTCGCCAAAGTGTTTGATGAACTCAAGAAGTTGCGCGAGGATATGGCCCTGATGGCGCAGCAACACCGTGACCATCTGCAACACTTTGTTAACATGCAACCAGCCCAAGGTGCCCTTCCGCCTGCTTACCCTGCTTCCAGCACTGCGTGTCAGTCCATTCTTGCCCCTCTAACTGTATCTTCTTCTTCTTCTTCTTCTTCTTCTTCTTCTTCTTCTTTGAGTGTGGTCAACAGCCTATCCGGATCTGCAGCAGGTCCAGACCCCGCGGTTGTTGCTGCTGCTGCTGCAGTGGCAAGTGGCAGTGCAGAGCATTCTGAAACTGTTGCAGCCCCGAATTCGGACCCAGCAACCGCTGGTCCTAGCTGCAACTTTCCTTACATGGATAGAAAGTCGACAGAGATTCCGTCTAAATACGACGGAAAGGATGACATTGGATCCTGGATCAGCTCTATGCGATCCTACTTTGATGTGTTGGGGACACTCCCGGTTACTCAGTCGTCGGTCCTAGGGATCAATGTGGAACCCGCCGTAAGGGGCTTCTTAGAAATCCAAGTTATACAGTCAGGCTATAAAAAAATAGACTTGAACAAATGACTGAAGTCTACGTCTGTAGCCACACTCGAAAAACTCTTGATCAAATAATATGTTGATCCGCATGTTGCAGCCAAAGCTCGACTTAAGCCTTACAAGCTCAAGCACAACAAGTGGACCGACACCATGCATAGTCTGCAACACTATGTTAGTAAATTTTTTGCTACTCCTGATCTGAAGATGACTACGCAGTCTTGTTTGGATGTGATTAAAGGTACGGCTCCCTCTACTATAACACATCGCCTGGGTCTCGAACTCATAACATATACAGATTGGCTTACCCTCATGCGGGATTTAGTCAAATTGGAGGCACAAGACCTCCCGGGTGGCAAAAGGACCACCGAGCGCAAACGGTTTGCAGGCAGTAACCGTTTTGCAGCGCACGATCTACTTGAGATTGACGAGGAGACCTTCGTAGAGGACACTTCTCTTGATGACGATCAAGAGTGCTCTTCATCAGCCCATGAGTCTGATTATATGAATGATGATGAATCTATGAATGCCTTTAAGAAGACGACCTTCAAAAGTAAGGGACCGAGGACCACAGTGAAGAACAACACTAACACAATTCTTCTTCCCAAGAGAGCGAAAATTCCACCCAAACCGGAAGATCCTGCCACAAAACCATGGGTAGATCTCCGGATCAGTGAAAGTGAGTGGAAACACATAGTGAAGAAAGGGGTTTGCCTGCATTGCACCAAACCGGGACACTCAGTCCAACATTGCTTCAGGTTGCAGCAGGGAAACCAGCAAAGGGGGTAGAGATATCATCAGCACACTCTATAGACGGAGAGGCTGAACATGTAAGTGTAGGTCCTTCCCCGAAT